GGTTCATAGCGTTTAAAAAAATCATGAGGGATCATCATCAGCTCAAAAATATTTAACTTCAAAAAAATTCTCAAAAACTTAAAAACTCACTTGCGCGCAATATTGTTAAATAAAATCAAATAAGTAAAAATATTACGTGGAAATGAGTTTTTATGTATTTTATCAATCATTTTCTAGCGCAGGTCTCCAAAAGTTTCATTGAGTTTTTAACTTTTTAAATGATTTTAGCCTCAAGAAGCGAATCTCTACAGCTTTCCCCGCTATACGTGGGTAGTGTTGGGAATTTTTACTCGATTTTCTTGAAAAATCGATTTTTTAACCGAATCAATGGATTATATCGCATCCATTTTATTGGGTTCCAGTAAACGCACAAATCGCTTTTTCCCTCACAATCGAAAATTCCAAATTTTGCCACCCGAATGTATTAAACCGGCACATGCTGATTTTCGACCAAAATGTCAGCTAACTTCCCGGATATTTTCATTTAATTTTTTTTTTTGGGGGGGGAGGGGGATTGAAAAATGCAAATTTTGAACCTTCGTTTTTTCCATGTTTTCAAATTTGATTTTTCGGATTAATGATTTATTGTCACGGTTTAGATCTTTAGATCGACAAAATCGGATTCTTGAAGAAAATCGAATCGATTCGATTGATCGATTTTTTCGAAAAAATCTTCAGCCCTAGGGACACCACGAGTTTTGAGATGCTCATACTCCGACTTTCTTTGGCTCGCAACAGTCAACAGTCATTTCTCATACGGTTGGGCATCGCCAACCACGCCGACGATTCCCCAAGTCCCAACGCTTGTAACACTCTCATTACCCGAATTGATCCTGCGAATGAACGATCCAGTTCGATACAGCTCGGTTTCCTCTAGCCTGGGGTAAAACGAAAGCCAAGGAAAGACGAATTTATGGGCTGTGCTTATCTAATGTAAATCTGAGTTTTTCTCGAAACTGTAACACCGCAACTTTTCTAAATCAATCAAGCATGACAGAAAGTTCAGTAAACAAGGGAAAACGACAAAGGAGCATGTGAATACATGTACAATAGCGTCTGCCCGACAGTCCTTAGAAGCAGGGACTGCTAAAAATCTCGCAAAAATCTTGTAAATTTTAATCAAAAAAATCTTAACAAAACTGTTAAAATTAACGAAAAATGAAACCCCTATTAGGATTTTTTTACGTAAAATTACGAGAGGTCAAATTGAAGTACAATATTTGTTTTTTTAAAAAAAAGAAACTCTTTAAATACTCTTAGAATACTCTAAAAACAACACATTGGTTTTTAACACCTTTTTAACAAAAATCTTATTTTAAGAAATTGTTTAAAAAATCACGTCTTTTAC